ACCTGGAAGTACAAAATGTGTCTACAATGAGCTCGAGGATAGACACGAACAATCAGCACTGTTCTTCCAACTAGGCGCATAAGGTTAGCCCGAACTCGAAGTTGATTTACAAAACGTGACGTGCACACTATTGCTCTCTTTTATCTTGCTACAACAAACAGTAGAACACAAAACCTTACATATTCTCTTCCTCGACTAGCAATATGATACTAAACATGCACACCTGTTATGCAAGTCAAATGGGCCTTTGAGATTTCAAAAGTTTAACTAGATTGAGGTAGAAGAGTTAGTGGCCCAAGACCAATAGATTATTGTGTGTACGACACTTACAAACTTAGTGGAGCTGACTATCTGGATGCTTCTCCCTATCGACGGTTGTGAGCACCCTCTCGATCTCGTCGGTGTTTCATCCAAGTTGCAAAGGAAGATATGGGTGTAGACAACTACGGGCGACGAGGGTGATGGAATCCTCGCAGAGCACTCGGAGACGCTCGACCGAATTCCATTGTCGGAGCGGCTCACCTAGATCTACCACTAAGAAGGTGGGAGGATTGGGTAGAGTGGCTTTCACGACGTGCCTTGCTCAGATCACCAGTCTAAGCGAACCGCGAAGGAGCGGGATTACATGGATATTCGTAAGCTAGAGATCCAGGTGAATGCTTGGATCACAGAGGAATAGCGGGGGAGGTTCTTGGTGGAGGGGTAAACTTCATATGAGCAAGGTTTGATCTGGGCGGCAGTGGAAGTGGACATGTCAGTGCCGGGGCAAAGGGCGAGATGGATGAATTTTCCAGCAAGGGAGGCATTGTCGTGATTGGTGGGGGTCAAGAAGGGGGCTTCCCACATATCCCTGTCGATTATGGTGACAAGGATATCTTCAAATCAACTTGCTAAGGTCGAGATTGGAATCCAATTGCACATCTTTGTCCCTGGTGGTAAGATCGATTATGTTCCCGACATTGATCCTAGGGTTCGTTCTTTGAACTCTTGAACTGATCCCCATGATTATGGTGGTAAGGTAGGTGATGTTCATAGTGGCCTCAATGTGTTGGTGTCATGGTCAAGGTTTAAGACAGTTACCATGTGTGGCTTGGGCAATGGGTGGTTTGGTCGTGGAGCATTGGAGATCAAAGAGAAGTAGAGTCATGTCAGACAGCCATCCTAAATGGTAGTGCCGGCTGACTCCACGTGGTGCAACCGAGTAGATGGAAGTTGGGGTAGCGGCCTCAAGAGTTTGGAAACTTTTACGGTGTTGATATTAATATTTTAAGCAAAAGAGAGGCCTCCCTCTCTAGTTTCATTTGAAGAAACCATGTGGTCCTAGACAAACTACCAACTTAAGAATCCAACCAAACTACCACTACAAAGCCCCAAAGCAACATTTTTAGCAACCTCCAACTTTGCATCACTTGAACGCAACGATCCATGGTGCAGAAACAGGGATCATGCAAGATTGCAAGATCCCACAAGAGGCCAAGCCACAACTGGAAACCCTCCAAACTCTAGACTCTGATAGACACATATAAAAAGTTCAAGTTAAGACAACTAAGGTAGAGATGCAACAGGGCAAAGAAGCCATCAACCGAAGATGAACAAAATCAAAGCTAGCATCAGGTCCACTATGAGCCACCAATCCAAAGAACACTCCAACCATGAGATGCCCAATAGACCTCACTTGCTACCCACTCTGTGAGTTCCTCTTCCAACTTTAGCACTCTTTGTCCTGGCTCCTTTATTTTCAAGATAGACCAATCCATGATCCAAGGGCACATCAACTTGATCATAGTCATGGGGTTAGAGATAATTTCTCTGTAAAAAATAATGTCATTGCGACAAATGCAAAATCATCCAAAACATCTCAGAAACCCCTACCAGAACCAGCAGTCTGTGAGGTTTTCAAAAGCCTTTATTCCATCTACCAAAACACTAAGTCAGGTTAACACACGTGAAATTAAGGGGACAAGCACATTTCACATGACTCCAAATTAACCTTGCAACGTAGCATTGAAAGAATATATAATGAATAGATTCATATTCTCCAGAGTAGCAACAACATTTGCTACCTTTCTAACCTCTTCGTAGAATATTATCTTTCCCACTGAACCATCTCTGTGAGAACTATCACTACTCACCAACATTTCCCACAAAATTGTTCAGATTCCAAGAACTACCGCTAAGCACATTAATAAGAACGCTTTCCCTTGTCAAGATCACTCACATGCTCTAGGATCTGACCTCCAGAGTTAGAAAATTGGGCTTCAGATCTGGGGGTAATTGCTGACTACTCCGAGCAAGTTGAGCAAGCAGAGCCCCAAATAACTATTGATGTTGTGCTAGATCGAGAGCCACCCTATTATGAATCTGTTCTGAAGCATCAGAGGTCGCGCCCTATCATTATGATGAGAAGAACCAAGATTAGATTACCTTTCAGCTCTTGTAAACCTTGACCACCAGACTACAAACCACCATCATTCAACACTTGTCTCCTATGCTCCCGATGACCTTGATTTATACTCAGATCTCCATCCCCAGCATTATTCTTCATACCCCATCTCTAGAATTGTTGTTCCTACACCTATCATCATGTTTATCTACCCCACTACATCGGTAATTTTCTCTCCCTACCCACTAGTGCCTCCATAGTTTCCAGCCAAGCTATCCTCTTTCAAGCTATCGGTGGAACATGGAACCCTAACTTTGGCTCGGAAAAATCACTGTCAAGCCCCCGTAGGGGGAGGGGAATGCTATTTAAGTAACCGAAAAAGTTCTAGAGAACATATTTTCAGAATACGTATTTGTCACACCCTCCCAAAGCCCACCAGGGTCGAACATGGGGCATCGAAGTGGCCCATGAGCATCATCAGGTACCATGGGAGCCCTAGGCCTAGCCTAGCAGAACAAATTATGCTCTCGCCTAGCAGAGCAGTTCCACATTAGAATTATCCAAAGCTAAGTCTCAAAAAATTCAAGCATATCCTCATACCAATAAGTTGGGATGGCCGGAAAATTTCCATCTTGCAAGTGATTTCTAACCTCCACGCCACTAGGAACTACTCTGTCACAAGAATCCCCGATTGATCTTGAATTATTATCATCTAGATGAACACCGTCAGAGAAAGCATGAGGTTCAATGTTACCTTGCTCCTCAAACAAAACTGAATTTCCACTACAATATATATCCAACAACAAAGGATTTGAATTCATTAGTTGTTCTAGCTTAGATTTTGATAATCCTCGATCTAGAATTGATGTTCACAATCTCACTCCATTAGAACGTGAAGGTGAATGCAAATATTTTGATGGGGGTACAAAACTTACTTGTAGAAACCCATGAGATCTTAGCCTCCTTGTCTGAATCATCACCGACAAGTAATGAGAAGCAGTTATCGGCTAGGGAGACCCCTACTCCGTGACCGCGAAGCAAGCGAGGCTGAGCAGGCTAGAAGAACGATGAGGGAAGTACATGGATCGCCTTGGCATGTAAACCACATCACCGCCTTCTTATTCAGCATCATGTGCCCGTCGTTGTTAATCAGAATCAACATGTCCAGCGTTCCTGCCGGTTGTAGCGCCATCACCACCGCCACCACATCCTCCTCCAGACTAGGAAGACCTCGGATGCGGATCAGAACACCGCTCACTTCCACCGCACCACTGGATCCGCAGATTCCGCCTCCTCCATGGCCCAAAGCACGATCTCGATTGGATACTTTGCTTTGCCATCGGGGAACATCCTCTCGTTCTCCTCTGGACTTTGATCCTTGGAGACCACCATCGCCTTCTTGGTCGCCTCTGTTGTGCTCACGAACCAGGAACTGATGTCGCGCAACCATGCTAGCCCGAACGCACCACCTCCCGCGATCTGTGCCACGCATGCCTCGCACTTCGCTATGGAAAGGAGAGCAACAGCCAAGCGCAAGCGGAGATGAGAAAGAGGAGTGCGAGGAGCCCCGCGGCCAAGGTCGAGAGGCGGAAGAAAATTATGTTGGTGGTATTCGCATGTGTGATTGACATGTATCGGTTTTTTTTTTTTGCCGAATTTCCGCGGCCAACGAGAATAATCATTTGGGAGCGGTACTTTGATGTCAAAATTATTATCGCTACGGCAAAAACAACCTTTATCACTCAATGCCTGAGAAAAAAAACCTTTATTACTCAATAACATTTAAATCCTCTCTAAGATTATGCAAGAGAGAATCAGTGGAATCATTGAGCCATGTTTGAGTTGAATAATCCATGGAAAGTGGCATTTTGGAGATCGGCCAAAAATTTTGAAAAAATAATTGAAATTCATAATTTTTGGTATAAAAATATGATTTTTTTTGTACAAGTACACAAGAATGTGATGTGTATGTGTGTAAAATTTCAAAATGAAATACCTCGAGATGCCATTCGTGCAAAAAGAACAAATCCATGTACTTTTGGGATGAATAGTATCATGTGTTGAAAAGCCACTGATTTGTCTTTTTTTTTGCACTGCCTTCATTTCAACGTATTTTGTCCTGAAAATTTACACATGTGTGTTATGCCTCCACGCATGTCTGTATCTTTTTTAGATTTTTAAAAATGTAAAATTGTGAATTCTATTGAATTTTGAACTTTTCAAAAACCGGCCATGATCTAGGCGTCAAAACCTCTCTGTTGCGTGCAGTGACTGACAACCATGCCGCGGCTGATCGGACCCCACGATACAGAGAGTACCCCGAGAGAGAGAGAGAGAGGATACGGCGGCTATAAAGGAGGACGGTGCTGCACACCCGTTGAACATGCCACTCATCACACTGACATCGCTCTCTCTCTCCCCTCATTACTCGCATCATTACACCTCCCTCCCTCTCTCTCGCTCCCTATCCACTATCCGCCCCTGCTCTCTCCCTCTCACAAATTCACACCTGCGAGGACTGAGGAGTAGTGGAGCCTGCGACATTGCCGCCGCTGCACAGTGAGAGAGGAGGAACGCAGCCAGCGATGCTCCCTCGCCCTCCTTCCCACCTCCTGCCATGGCGGTGCCTCCTCCTCCTCCTCATCCTGGCCTTGGCCGGCAGCAGCAATGGCGTCTCTGCGACTGCCAAGGCACCGGCAGCGGCGCCCAAGCCGGCCGGGTTCGGGTACAAGCTGGTCTCCCTCGTCCAGCGCCCCAACGGGGGAGGCCTCGTCGGCTTCCTCCAGGTGAAGCGGCGCACCTCCACCTACGGCCCTGACATCCCCCGCCTCAGGCTCTTCGTCAAGTAAGCTTCTTTCTTCCTCGCGGCTTTTTTTATTCACAGTGCTCTATGTGGATTCCACGGTTTCTTTTTTTTGAAATGGATTCCACGGTTTCTAGTACCAGTAGCTTTGTTTGAGGGGAATGTTTGTGGCTGCAATAATTGCCCGTTCGATCTGTTCAAGAAAAAGGGCAAAACAGCTCCCCAAATTTGAGGAATTGGTCTGCGAAATTACAAGTAGTACTATAAACATGCTCAAGAAATTATAAGATTAGATAACAATGCGTGCCCAGTTCTTGATTTGTTGCCCCGCTGATGTATCATATTCATATTCTCTTGGCACAATGTGTGTTCATGCTTCCATGATTACTCTGTCCAGCCGGATTAGTAGTAGTATATATGTATTCCAATCATGCGTGCTCCTAATTTATAGGTATTCTACGACCGAGACCAATGGAGATGCAAGCTCGTGCATTTTGTAATGGCGGAATGTGTTTGCTGTACTACTACTTGTGCAGGCACGAGACCATGGACAGGGTACGGGTGCAGATAACGGACGCGGAGAAGCAGAGGTGGGAGGTCCCCTACGACCTGCTCCCGCGGGAGCCATCCCCGCCCCTCGGCGCCACCGCCGACGGCGCCCCCTTCACCGCCGGGGAGTACCCGGGGCAGGACCTCGTCTTCACCTACGGCCGCGACCCCTTCTGGTTCGCCGTGCACCGCAAATCCACCCGGCAGCCGCTCTTCAACACCAGCCGCGCCCCGCTGGTGTTCAAGGACCAGTACCTGGAGGTGTCCACGCGCCTTCCCGGCGACGCCGCGCTCTACGGGCTCGGCGAGAACACGCAGCCCGGCGGCATCAAGCTCCGGCCCAACGACCCCTACACGCTCTACACCACCGACGCCTCCGCCATCAACCTCAACACCGACCTCTACGGCTCCCACCCGGTGTACGTGGACCTCCGCAACCTCGCCGGCCGCGGCGTCGCGCACGCCGTGCTGCTGCTCAACAGCAACGGCATGGACGTCTTGTACACCGGCACCTCGCTGACCTACAAGGTCATCGGCGGCCTCCTCGACTTCTACTTCTTCGCCGGCCCGACGCCGCTCGCCGTCGTCGACCAGTACACCGCCATGATCGGCCGCCCCGCGCCCATGCCGTACTGGGCATTTGGTAACCAACCCATCAACTCTGCCTGCCTTGATATATTTTGTTCATGTTTACAAATATATAGAATGAGCCAAATTCTAGCAAGAATAGTAAGCACAATTACATCTAGCTCCCTCGCGTAATCATCGGCCAAATATAATTTGAGACCATAATTTCTGGATTCTCTGTAATTTGTAACAAACTAACAATTTCTTGATTCGCACTAAATATGTAAATGACATTCCCAAGTCGTGATTCTGAGAATGTGGCTGCAAAAACCAAAACAAAACTTGCTCTGAATATGGTCAAGAGACCTCACCTGAATTGTTTTGTAGTAAATCATACTACTCTTTACTATTTTTACTCTGCAACCAGAACAGAGTATTTGAAATTTAACACTGCAAATCTCTTATTGCCTTTTGCTCTGGTTTACAGGGTTCCACCAATGCAGGTGGGGATACCATAACCTTTCGGTGGTGGAGGACGTGGTGGAGAACTACCGGAGCGCGCAGATCCCCCTGGACGTGATCTGGAACGACGACGACCATATGGACGCCAGGAAGGACTTCACGCTGAGCCCCGTGAACTACCCGCGCCCCAAGCTGCTGGCCTTCCTCGACAAGATCCACGCGCGCGGGATGAAGTACATTGTCCTCATCGACCCCGGCATCAACGTGAACCACACCTACGGCGTGTACCAGCGCGGCATGGACCGCGACATCTTCATCAAGCTCGACGGGCAGCCATACCTCGCCCAGGTCTGGCCCGGCCCCGTCTACTTCCCGGACTTCATCAACCCCAACGGCGCCTCGTGGTGGATCGACGAGGTGCGCCGCTTCCACGAGCTCGTCCCCGTGGACGGGCTCTGGATCGACATGAACGAGGCCTCCAACTTCTGCACCGGCAAGTGCACCATCCCGACCACGCACCGGTGCCCGGACCCGACGTCCAAGGAGCCCTGGCTGTGCTGCCTCGACTGCAAGAACCTCACCAACACCAGGTGGGACGAGCCGCCGTACAAGATCAACGCCTCCGGGAAGTCGGCGCGCCTCGGCTACAACACCATCGCCACCAGCGCCGTGCACTACAATGGCGTCCTGGAGTACAATGCCCACAGCCTGTATGGCTTCTCGCAGGCCATCGCCACGCACAAGGGGCTGCAGAGCATCCAGGGCAAGAGGCCGTTCATCCTCACCAGGTCGACGTTCGTCGGCTCCGGCGCCTACGCCGCGCACTGGACCGGCGACAACAAGGGCACCTGGGAGGACCTCCGCTACTCCATCTCGACCATGCTCAACTTCGGCATCTTCGGCATGCCCATGGTCGGCTCCGACATCTGCGGCTTCTACCCGGCGAGCCCGCCGCCGCTGGAGGAGCTGTGCAGCCGCTGGATCGAGCTCGGCGCCTTCTACCCCTTCTCCAGGGACCACGCCAACTTCGCCTCGCCGAGGCAGGAGCTCTACCAGTGGCAGTCCGTGGCGAGGTCCGCCCGGAACGCGCTCGGCATGCGCTACAGGATGCTCCCCTACCTCTACACGCTCAACTACCAGGCGCACCTCACCGGCGCTCCCGTCGCGCGCCCGCTCTTCTTCTCCTTCCCGGACTTCGCGCCGTGCTACGGCGTGAGCAACCAGTTCCTGCTCGGCGCCGGCGTCATGGTGTCCCCCGTCCTCGAGCAGGGCGCCAGCTCCGTTGACGCGGTCTTCCCGCCGGGCACGTGGTACAACCTCTTCGACACCAGCAAGGCGGTCGTGTCCACGGGCTCCGGCGCCGCCGTCAGGCTCCCGGCCCCGCTGAACGAGGTGAACGTGCACGTGCACCAGGGCACGGTCCTGCCGCTGCAGCGCGGCGGCACCATCTCCCGGGACGCGCGCGCGACGCCGTTCACGCTGGTGGTGGCGTTCCCTCTCGGCGCGGCGGACGCGGACGCGGAGGGCGCCGTGTACGTGGACGACGACGAGCGGCCCGCCATGGTGCTCGCGGAGGGGCAGGCGACGTACGCGCGGTTCCACGCGGCCGTGCGCGGGGGCAAGGAGGTGACGGTGCGGTCGGACGTGGCCATGGGGAGCTACAGCATGCACAAGGGCCTCGTCATCGAGAAGATCACCGTGCTGGGGCTGCACGGCGCCGGCACGGACCTCGCCATCCAGGTCGACGGCGCGGACGACGCCACCGCGGTCGCGACATCGAGCCCCTACTTCGCGGCCGCCGACGCCGCGCAGGTGCTGCGCCAAGGAGAAGAAGATGACGCCGTGGAGGGTGAAAAGAGGAGCGGCGTGACGATGGAGGTGGGCGGGCTGGCGTTGCCGCTGGGGAAGAGCTTCACCATGACGTGGAACATGCGCATCCAAGCATAGTTCCGGAAAATTGTGCTTCCATCTGCATGGGCGTTCGTCGTTCGATTCGTCGTGTGTGTGTGTGTCTAATTTATTAGAGCCTATAGAGTAGTTCATCTCATCGTGTTTGGGTCGGTTCTGTAACTTGTGTGGGGGTTGGTTACCTATCCTCCAACACCATTTGTGAAGGAGCCGGATCCCCTGACGTTGGGCCACTGACGCGTGGGTCCGGATCCACACGTCAGCGAATGCGCCGTACGTGAGAGGAGCTGCGTCCATTTGTGAAGCTCACTCTTGCAGGGAATAAAACTGCATTTCGACCTCCCATGCAGCTGCTTTTTTCGAAACGGAGCCAAAGCTTGCCTCATCGATTAATAAGTACTCCTCTGAAATATAAACATTGGCTTCTTTCTTTGAGAAACAAATATAAACATTTGCTAACTTGCTCGTGTGTCCATGAGACAAATCCCATTTGAAATGCAATGTTGCCCAACGTCCATCTACTCCGTTGCACTCTACGCAGTCTACTGACACCTCCCTGTGGCACAGATGCTTGACATGCCTCTACTCTACTTGTCATCGAGCTGCCCATTCCACGACCTTTCCGACAACCTCAATGCTCTAGAGTCAGTTTTATTTTTCGCTAGCGTAGCATTCTGTGTGCCCCTACATGCACTACTCACACATCACAAATGCATCACAAGCAAAAAGCATTGTAAAGATCAACTCTTGAAGATGAATTATTAAAAGTCTTAGAATATCACCGATCATGAGGTGCTCTTGATTACAAGTACTATAGCTAATGAAGATGAAGGCTATGGCGGAGATTATGGCTATGGAGGTGGCGGCTGCTGTAGATGGGAATGGTGATGATGGCTACGAAGTGTTGGCGGAGGAATGGTGTCCCTCCTAGCTCCTAGCGAATGGTTTTTTCTCCTTTACGTAGTGCAGATGGACGGAATAGAGTTTTGTGGTGCCTCCAATGCGAATCCACCATGGGTCCATTCACAAAAGTCATCGATCTCACATCATGAAGACGGTGCCGCGTGGTACGAACCACAGTACGAGCGGCGGATGCTTGTACGGCGCATCGGGGAAAAGACTTTCTAGGCAGCCGGTCAACACGACCGGCGAACGAACCCTAGGTACGGACGGCGCGGCCTCCGGCGGCGGTCATAGAGGCCGACCGCTGCAGGGGCGACGCGCGGGTGCGGAAGCGATGGTGGCTAGGGTTTAAAACCTGAAAACTGATACCATGTTAGAAGGGAGAGAGGTTTGGTGGAATAGTTAAATGTATTGTTTGAGCCTCGTGGGCATATATATATAGGAATACAATCATCTACTTGAAGTACAAGACAAGTCAGAACAAATCCTAATCTATTTCGTCTTTTTTAATAAACATTATACTCAACACTTCTGACACCCAAAATGCAAGGCAACCAGCGAAGAAACTTGTACTTTCTTTGTTTCAAAAATAAGTGCCTCAACTCTAACAGTAAGACATTTATTTTAAAACGGAGGGAATGTAAAGGTTAAAAGAGCCCAGCGTATACTTACTGATATACTCCACATGGACACGATCTTATATATGTATTCCGGCCACGGATTCTGGCCGAATTGGCGGAGCATGGTGCGTGCGTGTCCCTGTGCGTGTCGAACGAGACTTGCCTGCTTTCTGCGTATGGCTTAATTTGATTGAAACAAAAGAAGGCCCGGCCTCATCCTTTTAAAATCAGGGGAGGAGATGATTAGATTAGAAAAGAAAATTATAAAAACACAGTTATAGGATGAAGTGAGAGTACGAATGGAAGCATGAGGAAGAAGCAGACGCCGGATCCGTCCGTGTCCGATCTCTTTCTCCTCACTCCACAACGAGTGCGCGGTGTAGTGGCGTGAATGGGAACAAGCATTTTTGGTACGCCACCGGTCCGGTCCAGTCCAGTCCAGCTACATGTTGCGTGAATCGAGCGGGTCGGAGGAATCAAACAAGCGCGACAGCCCCGATCATGGGCTCAAAGCTCGGGCCCTGTGTTGTGTTCTGACGCCTCGTATCTATTTTTTTTTGTTAAGTCACAAATTTTACTCGTTAGATATTCATCAGACATCCATAAACCATCACACACTATGAATAACTTTTTTTGCCTTCCCTCCAACGCCTCGGACCAACACAGCCCTAACCGTCGGCCTCTTCACCCACGACTGGCGGACGCTACTGTGCACCGGCTTGTCACCTCATCCTACCCTCAACTTGCCCTCATCAGCGTGCTTGCTTCCGCCGTGACCATCCCTCTGAACTCTGCCGATTTAAAGCAACATCGACAAACCCCTGCTCCTCGACCCGCACCCATCAACCTGCTTTTTCACGCATGTGCCTAGGACGCTGCAACTCACTGCGGCGCGCAACGTCATCCCCGTCTCCGACGAGGTCATGGCTCGAGGCTCGTCGCCACCAACTTCAGCCTCTTGCTAAACAAAAATTCGACTTACATAATCAAAGTTTCAGGCATCTTAGAGCATCTACAGGCGCATGGGCAAATTCGGCCCCTTAAACGCCCGCAGGCGCCTCCGCGGACACTGACCCGTCACACCTCAAATATTTGATTCTAGAACCGGACATCTCAAATCGACAACGTGAAACCTAATATAACTGGAGCTCGCCCGGTTCTGTTGCGGCCATGTCCAGCGGCCGGCTACACTCCCCAGAGTGTTGGTCTGGTCGACGGCAAGGTAGAATAGGGCATGGGACACGAGCCGGCTCACGGGGCTCAAGGCCGCCGTCTCCCATGCCCTACTCTTCCTCGTCGGAACCCTGAACCCGAATGGTGCTGGTGGGCGTCAGATCGATGATAGACCCATCCTAGGACAAGTCGATGATGTCCACCACGATGCGGTTACGGCGTCCCGGACTGCTGCACCATACGGGGAGCCGGAGAATGCAACTCTGTCTCACCGACGTCCACCGCCGCGAGGGCCGCCGCCTCCTGCGCCCGCTGCCTCGCATGGCGGGCTCGCCGTGTCATGTTCTCGTCGAACGAGGCCCATGGTGCGTCCCGATGCTCGACTTGCCAACAGAGGGGTTGCGCGTTCGCCACCGCGTTCGGACGTCAGACGGACCGCACCGCCTCCACGAGGCAGCGACGACACACCTAGCGTCGGATCCATGAGCCATTTGGACGGATGCAATGGATTCCAGACGGAAGAAGTCAGAGCGCTGCCAGGCACGGGCCTCCTCCCAGGAGCGGCGGAGCGGAAGCCGGACGGTGATCTCCTCCTCGGGGCCGCGTGGGATGAACTCGGGATCGATGGATCTGAAGGTGAAGGACTCGGATTCGTTGCCCACCATGCTGGAGATGGCCAGGAATCGGCGGAGGTGAGCTTGAGTGATGGAGGGAGCGGAGGGGAGTGGAGTGTGAAGTGGCTCGGGTTTGGTCCGGCGAGCGGATGAAGATGAATATATGTGGTCAGGTTGGCCAGCGTGGGCCGGGTCTGACGTGGCGGAAGCCCCGGCGCCCCATGTCCTCTCCATATGAGGTATGCTGGTCAGCCCGGTCGTTTGAGCCTGTTTGAGATGCCCGGCTGAAATGAAAATCTATGACTGGAAGTTCAAGGAGGTCAGAGGTATCCGGCTGTAGATGTCCTTACATGTAGCAAATCTGCAAGATTTTACATGAGGCCAATAGTGCACACCAAGAAATATCCGGTGCCTGCACCTGAGCGCTGGTCCATGTCCTCGGTGCAACGGCCGAACACGTCTCGACAAAGGCGCGACAATCCAGTCACGATGCAGACACCAGTACACCACACAACAAGGCGCTTCAGCCTCGTCAATCCACATGTCATGAGTCTGTACTCACGGCCAAAACTCTGATCCCATCACCCCATGTGCATTGTGTGTGGAGGCCCCATGAACAGATCACATGCCTCGTCGCCTAAGATCTTACTGCAGGCTACATGTTAATCACCAAAGCAGACGTGACCGATCGGCCGTAAACATATATTTCTAGATGATTACTGTAAACGTATACTACTTTCTTTGTAAAGAAATATAAAAGCGTTTAGATCACTACTTTATGGTGGGAGTATTCTCCTGGTGATCTTTGGTAGCTTGGATGGATGCCTAGTGATCGATTCTAGTGTTACCGGACATGCAAGCACAAGTAAGAGATGGTTGCTAGCCAACACGACGATAGCTTGCGTGACACTCTGATTCTTCTTTTTTTTCTTTTTGGGACCGTCTATTTAGCACCTGACTATTCTACAATTGGAAAACATTCAAATATCCTGTCTAATAAACATATGCCACGTGTATGTCCAAAACCAACCCCCACAGGCACTGTCTCTCGCTATATTTCAAATAAAACGGGTTAGGAAATAAACCCGAATCAAGTAAAGCTGGACCATGACCCGGTCAAGGAACAACAGCCAAAAATTGGCGGAGATCACCGGACAATCTACAGGCCAGGAACACTCGTAATCCTACTCCAATTCTTGACCCCCTTCACCAGCTTCACAAATTCTTCATCCCCTTCACCCTGCTTCACCTAGAAACATCAGAGAAACTAGTTACAAAGAAATTCCAGAGATAACAGGAAACTGTGGAATGTTTGATTGCTAGCAATTATAAAACTCTGGAATAACAAAAAATTTGCAGTCTAATGCCAAAAATTACAATAGCAAAACAATAGAAATTACACTACAAATCCTGATAGCTGAAAATTAAAGTGCAAACTCTGAAAAAGCATACAGTGGATTTACACCGTAAATACAAACGAAATGACACTGCAAGTTCCCAAGGATTTACACTTGAATAACTGATGAAGTTACACTGTAAACACCCACGGATTACAGTCAAAGTGCCCACTAATTGCACTGTAAATCCCCCGGAATTACACGGTTATTCCCAGGTATCAACGCTCATAAATACACCATAAAATTAGACGTAAAAATCCACTGTGATCTATCTGAAAAATACTCTGTAAGCCCTAAAACAATTACAGTGCTGAAGTATTCAAATTACAGTG